AAGGTCCCAGTAATGTTATTAGTGTGAAATACACATTGGTGAAAAACTAGAGAACATGATAGTTTTCTATCAGAATAAACACACACACAAACACACACACACGGAAGTTAATAATCCAAAGGAATTGAAAAGTTTTGGATCAAGCTTTAAAAGGACTATGTAAATGTAAGGCAAAATGGAGACAGAATGGGAAAGACAGAAGTAGAAATAAACATATTTAATTAGCACTATATTTTATTGTGAATTTAAAAGAAGCAAAGCAATTTCATTAACCTCTTATTTGTTTTATTATAATTTGGTTGGTGAATATTATAACTATAGCCCACACAAGGTCAAATAATATTGCTTCTGGTCCCTAGAGTTTGGGCAGTTTTAATTGCACACTGGAAAACCAGTATGTTTATGGTTTGCAGTGTGTGTAGTGTTTCAACAGAGGAAAAGGAAATATCTTGAGTGTCATAAAATGAAAAACGTAACTACAAAAAATTAATTGACTGTGAGTTTTCACCATAAAGCTGCATGACTTTCAAAGCACAGGGGATCTGAGCTTATTTGGACACTGACCTTACAGTGTTTTAGATACATCACAGCACCGCTCTGACCTAACAACTTGGCTTCTTGAAAACAAATATAGTATTATGAAAAACAATATTGAGAAAGAAAGAAAGAATGTCTGGAGACCAGTTTATAAACCTCCGTTTCCTGCTGCCAGTAAATATTTTATTCTAGTTGCAGCAATGAAGTCTTGAAGATGAAGATTGTTTATAGGTTACTTTTTATTAATTGTATTATGTTATATCATATCCAATTATAGCTTCTCCGCCTAGAATATTCTTTCCGAAGCTCCCGTTTCTGGGCTTTGTTCCCCCAGCCCGCTTTGCCTGTTTAAGTCCTATTCTTCAGTACCCAGCGCAAGTATCAGCTCTTCTATAAGCAGCCCCAAACGCCTTGTGTTTGTGACATATGTTATCTCAAGTTCACCACTTCGATGGCACTTAGTCTGCTACATTATCTGTGATCTCTCCTGTCTCCTCCACTGGGCCAACCTGGCCCATGAATCCTTTACTTGTATTCACGTACATGGCAAAGAAACCACTCAACACCCAACACGTATTTGACATACGTGATTGAAAGGATTGGGTGCGATGCTTTTTTTTTTTTTGCCTGAACTGTCATGAGAAGATACACTACAAAGATGAAATTTAAATAAATATATAGCTTCTCAAATAATTAGAAAAGTCAACCAGTTACATTGAAGGATTATGGAAATTAAGGAGCTCTTTTGTTCAAATCAACAACATAACTAAATACAGCCAGAGGAATTAGCAAGTAGACACAGCAGAACTACGGAAGAAATGTTTAACAGTTGCCCTGGGCAACTCCTACAAGCCGTTGGCTGGAATCTGCTGTATCGTCTCCTAAAGGATAACTCACTGGCCAGTCCTCTCCCATCCATACCAAAACAGCAAAATCTGTGGTTTGTTCGTAGGTTCAATATAGCCAGAAAGACCAGCCCTCCAAGGAAAATGTCGAATCAGTGTATGTACTTCCCTAGAAAGTATGGTAGGGCTACCAAGATACACAAGACAGTATTTGAGGTCACTTTAGTCTTTCCCATATGGTGTATACAGCTCACAGACTGAGGAAAACCTTACCCTTTTATCACAGTGAGGGCTTTTCCATTCACACCTGCATTTCCTGCTACAGAACAGCGATCTCTATAAGGAAACTCATTAGTTTTGAATACTGATCATTTATTACCACTCATTATTACTGATCCCTATGCTTTATATGAATGGACAATGAATTCTCAGTAGACATGTGAGGACCATGAAGACAGCGAAACTAGAGAAAACAGTCAAAGAAACCAACTTTCAAGAAAATAGAAAATGGGGAAAAAAGGATCTAGCTTTTATTGTCAAAGACTCAAGAAAAGTTCACATTCATAAAACAAAAATAGGCTACTCTGAATAAAAGGACATTTGTTCTTCCTTTCCATCTGTGTTATCTTCAGTAGATCTTGTGACTTTTTCTGTGCCTGTAACAGTGCATGTACTGTTTTTCTGCCCATCCTTGCTCTTTTGTAGCAAGGTAGTTAAAAGCTTCAAGAAATATCACACTAACTTCTTCCGTTGATAAAAAGTGGTGAGACCTAAGCATTTATTATTCAACAAAGTAACCCATTCATCAAATATTGATGAAGCACCAATGTGTGTCAAATACTTTTACAGGTTCTAAGAATGCATCCATGGGAGAAAAAAGAGATAACCAACTTTCTCATGGAACTTACATTTTAGGGAGATGAAACTGAAGTGATCAGATGTGGTAAGTCTGAAAAAGAAAAACAAGGTAGGTAATGAGAAGAGAGAATGATAGTATATTTTGATTGTATTCTTGGGGAAGACTTTTCTGATAAAACCGTATTTAGCACTGACATGAAAACACAGAGTTTGTGAACCCTGAGTAAAGAAATCTGCAGGCGGAAGTAACAGCAAATGTAAATCCTGTGCCAAATATTATATTCTTGTCGTGTTCAAAGGATGATGAGCCTCAGTGGCAGCGGGGAGGGAAGTAAGAGCCGAGTCAGCGAGGCCCCCGAGGAACGGGTGTGAGGACCCCCCAGCTGCGGGCTTCGCGCAGCCACGGCAGTGGGGCAGGGGCGGGGGCGTGGACAGCAGTCACAGGGTCATCGCGATAGCCCTTCTGAACCACGATGCTCAGATTCTGGACGTATTCTGAAAGGGGAGCTGACAGAATTGGATGTAAAATGTGAAAGAAAGCAGGTAAGATTAAATGTTATTCTCCTGTCATTCTTCGGGGTATATATCTGCATGCTTCACCGCTGGAACCGCCTTGGAAGGAGGAGCAAAGAGGTAGGGGCACGGAAATAACAATTAGGATGGCTAACATTAATTGGACATGTGCTTTGTGCTGGCAAACTTCTCAGTGCTTTCCATGCGTCATATCATTAGATATTCGCAATAATTCTCTGAGAGAGGTGCTGGTAATAACCACAGTTTCAAAAAAAAGAAACTTACCCTTAATGATGCTATATCCCAAGCCCTAAGTGAGTACGCCTAGTAATTAGAGAAGATGATGGCATCAAGCCATCTGGCTTCAGGTCCAAAATAGTATCTGTAGGCCCCCCGCTTTGGCATGAAGGACTTCCTGCCAGCACTTTGCAGAGGTGCTCCTGTTTAATCATCACTATCAAGTAACCGTGTGAAAACCTTTACTTAACGAGGATGTTAAACTTACTAAAAATCACAGACGCTTCAAACATTAATGATTGCATTTCTAGTTTTAAGTAATATGTATATAATATTAATTGAGCTATTACCAAAAATAGAGGGAGATTTTATAGTCAAATGTTTCAGGAATTGCTGAATTAGTTAGTTATATTGATTGCAGGAGTTTTTAGAATCTTTGAATATTATTATTACTCAGGCGTTTTAGCATGCAACGTGTTTCAGGCTTT